CCAAGGATGCATCTATTTGATCAAAAATAAATACAGGAATACTGTGAAATATTATTCCACTTTAAAATAACAGATTTTTCTGGATTCATTTATGAATGGAAAGTTCAAAAGATCAAGATTTTAAAACAGAAATCTTTTATAACATTTTAAATGTCTTTACTGTTGCCTTTGATTAATTTAATGCATCCTTGTATTCATTTATTTAAAAAAAAATCTGCTGGAAATGTATTTACAGCAATTCAATGTACTTAAAAACAAAAGCTTAGCAGCATAGATATTAGAAATATTATTGATCACTCACCAGTATGAAAGCCACCAGTCATGAAGAATATAAAAAGCCTATGGAGCAGAAAACAGCATTAGCATGAATCTGTAACCGCGAGTGAGAGGTCTTTCAGTGTATAACACTGCTGTGTCTTATACCTGTGCCAGCAAGTTGAGGAGAACAAACGAAATCAGCATAATGACGTTGGCTCCAGCTCTGAAATATTTCCAGTACATGCGAAGGCCGATGGTCCCCTCAGTGCGCGTCTCCTCGGCCATGGTATGCACAGGCTCCGCCTACCCATGAGGAAAAACAATTAGATTCTTTCACTTGGTGGAATGATCTATTTTTATGATCAGACAGCAAGTAACATCCCACACATCCACTAGATGGAGCTATGGACCCATCTGAGCTGTAAATGCGAATGTTACAGGAAAAGTTCACCCAAAAATAAATGACAAGTCTGACTTACCGGAAGCTGATCGGACTCATCTTTAACAGACAGAACAGATGAAGAGTGAGAACGGACGGAGTTCTGGGAGAGGGTGCGGCTGCGGGGGGAGCGAGGAGCCTCTCCCTTTTCACCTTCCTCTTCCTCGTCCTTCTTCAGCAGAGAGGTGAAATCCACTCCTGATCGCTGCAGCTCGGAGTATGTGCCACGTGCCACCATGTGTCCCTGAGAGAGACAACATGAGTTAATTTTGGCTCATTTATTCACAGGTGGAATGCAGATTGACTGGTCTGTGCTGTTACAGCTTACCTCCTTCAAAACCAGGATCTGATCTGCAGCCTTCAGGTACTGCAGCTGGTGAGTAACCAAGATCCTAGGCTTTTCCTTCAGAATACCACAAATACACCTGCAAGGACAATCAGTGCTCTTAACATTTACGGCAAAGAAACAGTGAATACAACAACGCTCTTGGTTCAAAAGTTTGGAGTCAGTAAGATTTTTGACTGATTTTGAAAATCTCTTATGCTCACCAGGGCTGCATTTATTTG